TGGAAAAAATTTCAGGTATTATAACAGAGCCTGGGCCATCAGCACATTCCGAACCTTCTCCCACTCAATCCCAACTCTCTACATTAAATGTGCCCGTCTGAGGAAACCAGGGTGTATCCGACAACATCTTCTAACATAAGAGAAGCACTGGGTACTAACTTGAGCACCAGATCAGTGCCACATAATTTCCAATAAATGGATATAACGCTGTACTTCAACTGATGAATTCTGCCCCACAATTCTGGTTGAGAAAAAACTTACTCTTCCTGGAACTCCTCATCGGTTACCCTTCTACCTTCCACTTGGGTGAACCTTCCCTGGTCAGGTCCCTATTCAGGTGCCATTTGTAGGAGCCAATCTATGAGTTTATCCAACTGGGGTCAAACGAGATTAAAGACACAGACACAGAGATAATTTATAATGGGGGGGGCTCTTGCCTCTAGTGAACAAGGAACCCTGAGCGTTTGACTTGCTTTGCTTCTATTCACTTAGACATGGGAATGAACGATGATTCATCTGTCCCTTGTTGTCCATAGCACATGCCCAGGTACACATCTAGATCTCACCTGTGTGGACTCTTCTCTGGAACTTGCAATGTGCTAGCACACTGCACACTGCCAAAGGAGGCACAGCTTGCTGTTTTACTCCTTTGTGCTCACAGAAAAGGTCAGTTAGGACTCCATCCTCATTGCCTGATCTCCTGCACATTCAGTTATTAACACATCAATGTATGAATCCATGAACCGATCATCTTCCACACATGAGTCTTTTGGGGGAACATTCCAGATCGAAACCATAACATTTGGCTTGGTACCTTTACAAAAAATATCAACTGACCATCTATGTGTGGGTCTATTTCTGGACTCTATTCTTTTCCGTTTAGCTATTTGACTATCTTTGTACCAATACTGCAGGACCTTGATTTATATAGGAAGGGAGGAAGGAAGGAAGGAACAAGAGGAAAAATTATGAGAAAGCACTCCACTTGGCTTTCAGTAGTCCTGTAATATTTGCCTTTTCTTTTTTTCTTTTTCTGTACCAGGGATTGAACTCAGGACCTTGTGCTTGTGAGGCAGGCACAGTGCCTCTGAGCTAAATCCCTGGCCCTGCCTTTTTTTTTTTTTTTTTTTTTTTTTGTACTGGGGATTGAACTCAGGACCTTGTGCTTGTGAGGCAGGCACAGTGCCTCTGAGCTAAATCCCTGGCCCTGCCTTTTTTTTTTTTTTTTTTTTGTACTGGGGATTGAACTCAGGTCCTTGCGCTTGCAAACCTTTTTTTGTTTTTTAAGACAGAATCTCACTATGTAGTTCAGGGTGGCTTTGAACTCTCTGTTATACCAAGCGAGTGAGGAAACACCAAGTACCGGGACACATAAAAACTGAAAGAAGTTTATTACACATGTGCGGACTCCATTCTCTAAGAGAAGTGAAGCCCAGTTACAAGATTGTGCATAGGTTTTATAGGGTTTTTCAAACAAAGAAGTACAGACCCAGGTCAGGGCATTCACACAACTACTTGGGGGGTAAGATTCCAAACACTGTTTATATTTTGTGGTCACCTTTTGTCATACCATTTGTTCCTGGCTGTGCTGTTAACCAAGTTAGCAGTTAGCATATGCAAGTTTGTTTGTAGTTTGAGCAGATCTTCCTTGAGGTTTGATAAGGAAAAGGGGGAAGTGACAGTCTCTGGTCTATTAGCAGGGCAGCATGGAGTCACTTTAGCTTAGTCAGGTCTCACACTAACTATGTAGCCCAGGCTGGCCTTGAAAGCATGGTGATCCTCCTGCCTCAGCCTCTTAAGTGCTGGGATTATAGGCATGCATGACCATGCCCAGCAATTTGCCATTTTTGTTGTATGAGGCACTCAGAACTGCAGAGTAACAGTAAGATAGCAGGAAAAGGAAGAAGAGAGGGAGAGGAAAGTGCAACTGCACTAGTCTAAGAAGCCCCAGGGTGTATGCTCATCCTGTTCTTCGATACTCACTTTGGTGCTCTGCCCCTGAGCAATATGGCATGGCCAAGACCCTAGACAGCCCATGCTGTTAGGGGCCACAAAGAGGAAACAGCCCCACAACAGTTTCTCTTTCCTTTGGGGAGGGTGTGTTCACCCAGGTTTCCATCTTCACTCTCAGAAAAGTATTCCCCCATCATGACTAGAAGCTGCTAGATCTTGTACAGAGGTCTCAGAAAACAGACCAATGACCTAAGGTAATGAAGGGCTGCGGCCATTAGGACAGAGATGTGATCAACTCAGACTGAGGTCTGAGTGGTTTTGATGCCAGTGGGAATGACCCAAGGGCAACACGCCAGAGCCACTGAGCTTCCTTTGTGGGAAGGTGGGAGAATGGAAGAGGCCATGCAAAGGCAATCAAAATCTTTTTTGTTAAGCAGTGATAAATTAACTTGAATTACTATCTTCTTATATGATCACGAAACACCTGCTATTTGAAAATGACAGCATTAGTAGTCAGAGCTTTTATGTTTCCCATTACTTTTTTCCTCCCCATCCCTTCAGGACTTTCTCAGCCCAGTCTTCCAGCTGGTTCTGGTACAGGAGCTGTTTTGTTTGGGTTCCTATGAAAGCAGAGCCTGAGATCTCAGTGTCTGTCAGGAGGCAATGTGAGCCGGGCAGGGGAAAGTCAGAGAAGTCTGATGAGCTGCCTTTGCTGTGGACAAGTGGAGGCCAGCAGTGGTCCCACCGAAGGCATTGACAGCTGGTGCATATATCTACCAACTTCCAAGGCTATTGGTTAAGCACTGTTAAATCAAACTACATCTGGCTGGAGTAGTTATGTAAGAGTAAACCATGAAAGAGCTAACGATAGAGGCATCTGCCTTTGTGATCGGTAGCTGGGTCTCAGCCGATCACAGCAGCAAGTTCCAGCTAGTTGCAGGGGGTCAACACTTCTACTCACCTTCAAATAAAGCAAGTGCCTCACTAGAGACAATCCCACAGCCTTTGTCTCTAACTTCCGCTTCCTGTTTGGTGCTTCCTTTTCCCTAGCTAGAACTATGCACGCGTGGTGGGGTGTAGCACTCTGAACTGCTACCAGATCCTAGACTCGCGAATAAAAGACAAAGATATGAAAAACTCTATGTGCTGTAATTCTGTCTTTTAACATGTTTGTGTCCAAGGCTGTCATTTCTCTCCTATCTCCCCTGTTCCCCTGCACCCTCCTAAGGTGAACAAAAAGAAATTACAGCTGGCACTTGGGTGGGTGCACAGGTGTCACGTATGGGTCTGCACATCACCACTGTGCTGAATCAAGTGGCCAAGGGGACATGGCCTAGGGCCCTGCAGGTGTTTGCCCAGGTCCTAGCCCTTGAGCTGAGAGCTTACAAGGCTGTCCCACATGCAGGAGCCTCTTGTTGGCTCAGCTGTGGGAGCCCTTTCCAGGGTGGGGCAGTGAGAGTCCAGCCAGGGATCTCGCCTGTTATTTCCTTGGCAAAGCATCCTGTAATGCCTGGAGCCAGGTCCATGTGGTGCGTTGCAGCAGCCCCTCTTCTCTTTCTAAGTAGTGACTGGATAGGAAATGGTTTGCCTGGAGACATGGTGAAGAGAAAAGGGCACAAAACAAAACTCCTTCCTACCCCGAAAGCCCTCCTAGGCTCCTCTCTCTGTTCCCAAGGACAAACCCAGGCGGGTGTGCGGACTCCTCGCCTTTAGCCTTTGTCTGGTGAGTCCTCTTCTCTGCTCTCCCTGCTGCTGCAGCACCGCCCGACACACAGCCACCTCGAATCTTACCTGCTGGCTTGTTCCTGGTTTGCAGCAAACCTGCCCATGGGGAGCCCCCCAGGATGACTGAGCAGAAACAAGTGGTGGGCAGCCTCTAGGTGGGCCCGTGTCTACACTGGGCACTCAGCTTCTTAGATCCATGGCCACTTGGAGCCACATCCTCCCTCAGCAGGCTTTTAAAGAGGGCGTATCAGTGCTTCAGCCCAACAGAGTATTTGCACCCCAGAAATTTCAAGAGATTAACTGTACTCACTGCCCCAAAACAACCCCCAAAACTCCCACTGAAAGAAATAACACAGAGAATAGTGCAAGGGATATATTATTTACCCTTGTCTCAAGCCAAGCCATCAGACCCTTATATTGGTTTGTATCGCCTTCTCTCTCTCCGGAGTTATTTCACATAAATACTTGGGCATAATTCCACTGGATGCTACTACAGGAAATTGACAGAAATAGTATTAAGTCTCCCTCTTTTGGATTTATTGTTAGGATCTTGCTGAGGACGCCGCTCACTATACTACAGATTTACTTGTTGGAAGGAATCCACCAGAGTGTTTCCTCAGCAAGTTTGCTAGGAAGGTCATCACTACTCATGACAATGAATTTGCTGTACACGTTGTTTTAATTTAAGGACATCACAAACTATACAGAATTTGAGTTTTCTTCTTTGCAATAGTTGCTAGGAAGCAAGCAAACTTGAGTAGCACGTCAAGTAACTATTTGGCACTTTTCTAAATGGAACTTGTGAACAGACTTTGTCTATGATTTCATCTTTTCTCTCTTTTTTTTATCTTTCCATTGATATTTCCTTTACTTAGTTTTTATCATGTATGCAATAGCGGAATCCACGTCAAGTCCTCTGAAAACCGAGATGGGATTGGATAGCAAGGAACAAGAAAAGTGAAAGCAGGTATGAAGGTGAGGGAGAGTTCGGCTGACTCAGGGCTTGGGGATGCCAGGTGTGAAAGAGGGTGGTGAGGTCCTGGACGCAGAAGAGCTTCACGGAGTGGGGGTGTGTGGTGGGAGAGGTGCCAAGGACAGCTTCAGCGGCCGCAGAGGTGAGACAGCAAGGCTGGAGGAAGGCTTGCGAGAGGCCGAGCCACGGCGCAGCAGAACACAGGTTCCTCCTTTCCGAAGCGTCACATCTCCGTCCACCCCTTTCAGCCTAAAATCAGCTACCGGAACCCCACCGCCGGAAGACTTATTGAGGGACAGCTGACCCGGCGTGGCACCCTCCCACGATTACCCTCCTCACTGTAAGGCTGCCCTGGCGACACACTTCTCTGTTTCCACACGAAGCTCACTCCCACCTTCCCAGCAGCCTCCATGGCCGTCAGGCTGGCCTGCATCCCTGCCGGGAGGAGCCTTCCACACCGGCAGAGCCGGAGTTTCCAAGGACGCTGGGAGGGGTCAGAGGGAGAGGACGGGGCAAAGCGACGCCAGGATCCACGGCGCCGCCCGGCAGGGAGGTGGACTCACCGCGCCAGGGGCAATGATTCCACACCGCGGTAAAAGGAGCGGAGGCCGCAGCTACCTCGGAGCAGGAGCTTCGGTAAGCGGGCTCGAAGCGTCTGTCTCGCCAGGCGTCCCGGAAGAGGCTCACACACCCTCCTGAGACAGAATCGGCCCGCAAAGCACAGCTGCTCAGGGTCCCTCCCGAAGAATCCTGAGGTGCGAGCACACTTGTGGGAAGCTGCCGAGGCAGGGGCGGTCTCTCAGGGAAACGTGAGAAGGGGCTCAGCGGATGACGGCGGGCTGAGCCCTACGCAGCACGGCCGAGGACAGGATGAGTTCTGGTCCCCACAGTCACGCGTTCAGATGATGACACGCTGAAGTCACTCGGCAAGGACCAGGAAGCTGGTTAGTGACAGAGACAGGACCCACCCGCAGGTCTGACTCTTACATTCTGGGCTCTATCACAGAACTTTTTTCTAAGAGCGAAAGTGAGGAAGGAGGGAGAGGGAGAGAGAGGAAGGGTAGAACCCTTAAGCAAATATGCTTTTTGCTTCAATACAGTTCTTCCTGTCGTGAGCCTCAGGCCTCCCTTTTGAGAACAATCTCTAGGGTTTATCTGCTCAGGGCCGCCTTCCCCCCCCACCCGCCCCAACAGGCTGTGTTTAGCTTCTCGCTCCCACTTTTCTCTAACTGGCTTTCCCGGCCCCTCCCCGCCCAGGACATGAAAAACATCCTGCAGTCTCTTTGAACCTGTTCCATAACCCAGGAGAGTTCTGTGGCTTGGCCTGGGAACAATCACTCTAAAAAGGCGTCACTGCAAAGTATCGCTCAAGACTCCATGAAATATGAGCAGCTCCCTAGAACAGACGGACCAAAGGGTGGGGTTGTATTTGTGTTATTTTTATGCCCTTAACTTCTCTATATGGCTAATGCTATGGAAATTACTCAGGGAGCCCAGAAAACTAGCGGTCCTGGTCTGTGTCATTTTGAGCAGTGACAAGATCTCGGTTGTTTTCACCTCAGTGCTAAAACATGGTAATGAAACAAGATGAAGTTGAAGGTCCTTGTCCAGCACTAACAGTCTCTCTATGGTACATACCAGGACGACCGGCACTGCTTTTTACTCACTAGTAGGGTTGGTTCCCAGTCTCTGGGACAACGGAAACATGGGGAAATAACACGAAGAATAGTACGACCCAGGAAGGCAGCCACGCAATCAGCAAAATCAAGACTATGGGAGATTCCAAAGCCTGATTGTCAACATAAAATTTTTAAAATTTTAGAAAATAAAAGGGAAATTATAGAATGAAAGAGACATCAACAAATTAGAGCATATGATACTTATTTGTACACCAGTTCAAACTATTGTAATATTTAAAACAACATTCCTGAGACACGTGGGAACGTGTGAACACTATTTGCCAATATTAAGAAATTATTATTAACTGATTTTCAGATGTGATGCTGACATTGTCTTTCTGAAAATACAAGAGTCCTTCAGGGAACCAGGAAGTAGATTTTTGGAGATGGGGGAGTGGGGTAGAGAGGAGCGGAGAGGGGCTGATGGGATCGAGATTGATTAAGATACGTACCGACCTCCTAAAACCGACCCCAGCATTATATAATAATAAAATACAGCGCAGTTCAATAAATAAAAGTGGGGTCCTTATATCTCAGAGATGACAGATGGAAACCTCTAACTTAAGATATGTTCGGGCTTTGCTTCAACACAGTCTGGTGAGAAGTACTTGGGATGTGGCAGACACGGGCGAGGCAACCGACTGCAGCGGTACAGGCGACCGTTCACCTGGGGAGGCAGCCTGGGCCCCTCACCTACCGTCTGATCTTCCGGACATTCAAAACTCTCCAGTATGAAGCGAAACAAACAACAACAAGCAAATCAAAAGCCCTGTGTAGGTAACAAAATGGATGTTTTTTTTTTGTTGTTTTTTTGTTTTTTTGGTACTGGGGATCGAACTTGGATCTGGTATTTTGACTGAAAAAAAAAAGAATAATAGGTAACCTCATTTATTCATTCAGTGAATGAATTTTTAGCTACCACTACTCTTTGCTAGACTATGTAAAAACAGCAGTGAACAAAACAGAAAGACAAATTTCTCTTCTCACTGGATCTTATATACAAATAGGGGAAAAAGGCAATCACAAATAAAATGCTTACAGCTGTAATGATAAATGATAAATCCAGTCTGAGGCTAAAGAGTGGGGAGTAACAGCACTTTTGAAAGACTTCATTGAGAAAGTGACACAGCATTTGCACAGATACTTGAAGGGGATTAGAAGAGTTACACAGATATCTATAAGAAGAGCATTCCAGGCAGATGGTAGAGCCAGTGCAAAGGCCCTGAGGTAGAAGTGTGCCTGGAATACTACATGAAGAGCAAGAACTGTGTGGCTACAGGAGAGTGAGCAGAGCTAAGGGAGATAAGGCTTTATCTTAGGTAAGGGTTTTAAAAGCAGCAGAAAGGAGTTTCACTTTTACTTGAATTCAAGTGGAAAATTATTAGAGGTTGGTTTGTTTTTAAGCACCTTTAAAAATATATATTAGCTTCCCGGGGATGCTGTACAAATTATCACAAACTGTGTAATTTAAAACAATAGAAATTCATTCATGGTGGGGTCAATTCTTTCTGGAAGCAGAGTTCTGAGAAGCTATAAGATTTTGAGGAAGAGAGATAATGAAGCAACAGCTAAGACCAAGCAACGATCGGGAAGACAGGAGAAGAGAAAGTTGAACGTGCATCTCAGGAAACGAGAGCCTGCTTCAACTGCATCTAAGAAATGTGGGGAACAGGTGAGAGGAGAGTACTGAGACTTTGACCATCTGATGCAGCAGCGTGGATGTCTCTGCTGACCCTGGTGAGAGCGATCACAGCCGAGCGACTGCAACAAGAGCAAGCGAGCTCGAGACCGTGGGAGAAGCATGGGAGACCTGGAGAAAAGCTCTGTTTTGAAAACGTCGTGGTAAAAAGCAGCCACTAATGCAGCAGGAGGGAAGAGAAACAAGGATTGCTTCTGACTGTTCACGAGGGGAACAGTGGTCAGTTTCTACAGTGGCGGGAACAATGCACTAGGAAGAGACGCATCCGTGACGCCAGGGGAAGAGGACGGGTCGCCAGCTCCCTCTCGGGATGCGGACAGGACTTGGGGCGCAGGACGGCGGCTGCCCTCACTTCTAAGAGCGGGCGGGGTCGATTTGCGGCCAGGGAGACGCGCTGTGCACGCTTGCGCACTTCTGAATGCTTCGTGGGGAAGGAGGAAGCTCGGAGTGGAAGTCGGAAAGGGGCACTGGAATTGTAAGGGAAGGAGGGGAAGGATGAAGCATCGCCCAGGAACCCCGGAGAGGGCGTGGACTGGGACGCAGGGCCAGGGCCTCCTGGGGGTGGCTGTGAATTTGTAGGACACGGGGCAGCGCGGCTGTGGGCTCTTCTCCCGCTAGGCTCTGAGGTGTGGGTGTCGACCGACGGCAGCGGACTTTGGCAAAGCTTTGGATACTGTCAAACCGAGAAAGGACAAGGTGCGTAATGCGGAGGCAACGCCCGTGAGGGAGGAAGTGTGACTCGGTTGTGGACTTTGAATATTAAAGATCCAAGTGAGACCGCGAGCGTGTCAAGGGACGGAAAACTGCTGATGGAACCAGTGGGTTCGGCTCCACGCGGAACAGAACTGCTGGCCTTGGGGCGTCAGCAGGAGGAACGGAGACCGACAAGATGGAGACGCTGAGCGGGGTGTGCTGTTGAGCCAGGGCTGCCGTTCAGCAGCACGGCGTCTGCTTAGCTGGCCAGTGTGAGGTCCTGAGTTTGATCCTCTGCACAAATAAATAAATACATACATAATTTTTTAAAATCTAAAAGTTCAAGAAACACAGTGTGTAAAATATGTTACGTCCCAAATGAGAGAGGGCTTTTCTGAATCTAACACAGAACCCCTAAAAGTTTTATAAATATAACACAAAAATAAAATTTCGGCTTAGTAAACCCATAGTTTAAAAAAAAAAAGATAAACAATAAGCTTCGATAATAT